GTTTAGAATTTTAAGATATAGGGTTTAAAAATCTATAATTAGTGGTATTTTTGCAAATGAACACCCCTAAGTGGCATTTTTGCAAATGTGCACATAAAAAGTGGTATTATTGCAATTTCACCTATAAGATTTGACGAGTATAGATCTCTATGAAAAATAAATAGATGATATCAATGACATTTGTCAATCATAGATTTATATATAATGTTTGATAAAAATATTATAATATATTTAAATAGGTTTTTATGATATTATTAACATAAAATTGTTTGATAATTTAACTCTATAATATTTAACTGTTACAAAATTTTATCATATATATTAATATGAATTCATAATGTGTAAGAATATTTGTTTTTGTTATTTTTAAATTCCATTTTTGTATATATAAGTTTTGGCATGCATAATATGAATTAGGACATGAGAATTAAGATATAAATTAAACTTTAATGGTTTGAGATCCATGTTTAAATATCTCAAAATATTTTTGTAATTAAACGGATTACTAACTAAAACTTAAATTTTGATATTAATATTTTTTAATATGTTTATCCGCGTACTAACGTGGGTCCTATTCTAGTATAGAATGAAATTTTGATTTCAAAAATAGCACATATTTTAAAATGTTCTATTATTATCACAATTTTAGAGTACAATGACTAAAATATCCTTACTTGAATTTGTTAATAAAACGAAACAAAAAGAAATGCACGTGGATTTGGAAAGAATCAATAGACATCTCTTTTACCTTTTTTCTTTCCGATTATTTTTATGACTATGAAGGAAAACCTATAGATCATCTCCGTGACCGTGAGTTACGAACGCAGCTTTCCGATATTCTGCAAGTGCCCATAATGGGAAGGTGTTTCTGTATGTAGCATAGTGTAGCATGCAAGTATTCATGAACGCTCCTACTATTTCCTACACACAAATAAAAATCCACAGTAATATTGATAGCTTGAACTGATTTTGTTAATTAAAAAGTGTGAACTAGTAACAAAAACCAGAGCTCTTCAAAAAATCTTTTCTTTTTTATCCATCTACTTGTTGAGTTAAACTTATTCAAATGCAACTACCTGTTGAGGAAAATCCCCATTCTCTAGTTGCGAAGAGATGATAAATCTCGCAGCACGATGAATAGGTATAAGATCTCTCTCGGCCTGTTGTGTACATATATAAACATGGCAATGTCTTTATCATAAACAAAACACAAATGTAATTAAGATTGAAAATGTTCAAACCTGTCCTGCATGAATAAGACCCATCATAGCCCACGCAGTTTGCACTAAGTTTGATCTATTTCCTTCTAATGCTATGTATCTCTACATGCAAACCATATTAAACAAATTTAATTAACACTTCTTCAATAAAGACATTGATATACTAGAATTCCGTGTGTGTTGCTTCATAAAAATACCTGTTCAGGGCATGAGACAGAACTTTCGCCCCAACCTCCATCTTCATTCTGTATCGTAAGCAGGAAATCTACACCTTTACGCATAGATAGACAGTTATTGTATGTTTTACCAATCGCTGCTAGGCCGGTAAGAGCAAACCATGTTCCATAAATGAAACAAATACCCCCAGTCTCCGTACCTATACCATTACTCAAAACAAGAATTATTTTGTTAAAGATGTTTGGGACAATGTTCATTAACCATGTCTTAATTATATGAAAGTAGCATACCATGAACCATCTGACATTTGTTTGCTTTCTATGAATTGCGCCGCTTTCTCGATCGACTTGGTGATCTCTTTTGTCCTGTGATCCGGATATAGTTGTTTGAAGATAACTAAAGCTTGTATAACAGCTGAGGTACATTCCACGTACTCACGCTCCACCATTACATTAGTGAAAAATTCTGTCGGATTCAGCAATTGAGTTACAAAAAAGGTTACACTTGAGAGGTTTTTTCTTAAGGAATTTTCAACTTCGCGAAAACATAAATGAACATCCTTATGTGTTGTTTTAGCTCTTACTTCCAACCATTCATGTCCACGGACAGGTTCCCATGCAGTTACACCTCCATTTTCACTCTACATCAAATGAAGCTATAATCATTATATAATTTAAGAGGCAATAATTAGTTATATTAACATAATTTAAGAGGCATTAATTAAATTTCAACAACATCAAGCTTTTATATATATATTCACCTGTAGAGATAGCAAGAGATGAACAGAATCATATAGATTTTCAGAATCTATCTTCTGGCCAACGACATCAGCTGGCATCGTCGAGAGCAACATGCAACACTACAAAAATCGGCAGGTC